CCCGTGTCCATGCGCTCCTGCCCCGGGACGGCCGCGGCGGCCTGCGCGCTGCAGGCGTGGTAGATCTCCCGGGCGGAGCGCACGACCAGGGACAGCAGCAGGCTGCGGTGCAGGCGGCAGCCGCCACGCTGACTGCGGGAGCTGTAGAGCTTGCCCAGGGACACGGCCACGATCCTCTTCGCGTCGCAGGTCATCTCCATTCTGCCTCTCTGGCGGGCGGGCGGCGGACGTGCCGTGTGGCTCAGGGAGTGCTGGGCTCGGGTGCGCGCTGTCAGCTCGCCTGTGGCCCAGCTGTTGTCACCTCTTACGAGTACGCTGGTAGGCTGAGCAGGGCGCTCTTATGTAGCCTCGCTGACGTCACAGGCGCTGTCTTCGCCAATCGACGCCTACAGGGCCCCTTGATTGACAGGTGCCGGCCGCCACACCCCCCTGGTGTTTCCTGTCCGGAGGGACTCTTGACATCTGGGCTACGTAATAATAATAAAATAATAATAATAATAATAATAATGCAGTTGTATCCCGTGCATAGACGCGGGCTTTGTGACCTCTGCACGCTGGAGGTTAGCGCAGTGTGGATGAGCCTCTGCGGGTCTCCTACAGGAATTCTGCGGGGATGTTGCGTGTGGGACACACATACTGACACGTCTCGCACCCGCGTGTCTGTGGACGGCGTGCGTACACTGCTGTGCGCCGTGTCGCGGCTTTGTGAACCGGCACCGTGCCGGAGGTGGCTGGGGTGGATCTGGGCTCTGTGCCTGCTGTACAGATGTCGGATCTAACCGCCCCCCTCTCCCGGCTCGTTATTCCCCGGGGGGTATTTCCTTGGTGACGTCGCCCCCGTACGCCCATACAAGGCGCTTCCGGGCTCCCGGGTCCCGCGCAGTGGAAAAGCCGTGACGCAAGGCGGCCGTACTTCCCTGCTTACCTAATTCAGCAGCAGCGGGCTGGAAGGGGCGGGGCGGGGAGGGAGCGTCAGCTCTCGCCTCCTTATATGGCGCTGTCGCCGGCTGCGCCCGCTTCCTTTGCCCAAATATGGGAGGCGCCTGAGGCGAGGCAGCGGCCGTGAGCTCCCTGTCCCTCGTGTGTGTTACTGCTGCTGTAAATAACTCATAACTGGTACTGGACCTGGAGCGGAAACTTATTAAATGTATAAATGTGACTCCGCTAGCCAGGTTTGCAGATATTTTAAGTAAGCTAACCTGCGTGTAAGAAAGTGTGACACTCTATTCCTGACGTCATTACGGTTTTGGTTCATATGAAACCATCATTATAGCGCCACCGTCATGTGACAGGGGTGAATTCTTCTAAGCGTCATGTGACAAGAGTGAAGTGCGCAGGCTCTGGTCATGTGATGGAGGAGTGGCGGGGGAGAAAGAGCTGGAGGAGGGAAGTGTGTGCTGGGTCTCTCAGACTGTCGCTGACGACATGTCGCTGGAGGACCCGTTCTTCGTGGTGAAGGGGTGAGTTTACACGAGTAAAACATGAATGTATACGTACACAGCGTAGGCGCTAACAGTAATGACACTGATTTTTCCTAGACACTTTTCCTTAGTGTTTCGGCGAACTGAGCAGGCGGGGTGTTGAGAGCCCCAGTCCTGTATCAGCGTGTCTGTGACGCGCCGGTCAGCCAGGGTGTAAGCAGCGAGTGTGTCAGACACTCAGGGTGTAAGCAGCGAGTGTGTCAGGCACTCAGGGTGTAAGCAGCGAGTGTGTCAGGCACTCAGGGTGTAAGCAGCGAGTGTGTCAGGCACTCAGGGTGTAAGCAGCGAGTGTGTCAAGCAATCGGGGTGTAGGTAGCGAGTGTGTCAGGCAGTCAGGGTGTAG